AGAGGAGTGACCACGGGCCCAGAGGAGTGACCGCGCACACACACAGCCGAGACACAGGCCCAGAGGAGTGACCACGGGCCCAGAGGAGTGACCGCACACACACACAGCCAAGACACAGAGCAGAGGAGTGACCACGGGCCCAGAGGAGTGACCGTACACACACAGCCGAGACACAGAGACCAGAGGAGAGGGAGCTGTGGTTTTAAGAAGCCAGGGGGTAACATCTCCCCTGAGGACACTGAACCCCCATCTCCTCTTCCCTCTCCACCCCCCAGCAGCACCACCCAGCCTGGTGGAGAGGGAGCTGAGCCGAAACGGCCCGTGACTGAACACTGCAGGAGCAGTCTGTCCAGGCAGCGGCCAGGCGCCGGGGCAGTGGCTGTGTGGCCAGGCCGTGACCTGGGCCAACCCGACCCTCGAGGTGCTGAACACAGAGAGGTCAGAACAGACGACTGCATCCTGGGACATTCCTGCAGGTCAGCGATCCACAGCACCTGGGGAGCAGTGGATCCTGAAGGACAGACCCTCACCCCTAAGTGCCCACTACTGGTGAGGGGTGGGGAAGCAAGAAGGGGGGTCCAACACTGCCCCCCAGGAGCCACGATCAGAGCGCTCAGTCCGGGGGCAGGCTTGCTGTGGGCTCTGCAGGATGACTCGGTCTGTGCAGAGCCCCTCGAGTGCGGCTTCACCTCAGAGGTCAGCCCAGCCCACCCCCGAAAAGGCCAGAAATTAACCAACTGGCCAATCCCGACCTGCTCCACACTCCCACAACTCTCCGTGTAAAGAATGATCCTCCATGTCATTTCCACTTGTGTCCTGGGTTCATGTCTGCTTGTCATGTCCACAGCTGGTCTGATCCAGGCAGAGCTGGAGCAGCTCACTAACAGTTTCACTGGCCCTCCAGAACCGGCACTGGACAGCCCTGATCCAGTCCGGGGAACTGATCCCCCAGGCCTCAAACCACAGGCTGCTCCCCCTCCAGGCCTCCACAACAAACCGCCACAGACTTCCGCTGAATTCATTTCCTGGATTCAAGCCCTCGGCTGGAGATCCTGTTTCGGGGAGGTTCCTGAAACCTGTTTCGCTCAGGCAGGAAGAGAGCTGACAGGATTCCCGAAATCCTAGCCTCACCGCGCATTCCTGACATCCCAGCGGAATCTGTCACAGCTCTGCCAGCCTCCCCTCCTCGGCCCACGCAGGCCCAGCCTAGTCCCAGGCAGGGTTTGTGGGTCACTCCCTTGCGCCCCCATTTCATTCACTTAGCCAGCTCCCCGCCTGCAATCCCTGCCTGTCCACCACTTTCCTGGCGCGACTGACCAACTGACCACAAGCTCAGGCCAGTCTAGCACGGCCTGGCCAGCTCTCGCGGCCCATTGGCTACTCCAGCCGTGAGGGAAGTGATGTCACCCCTCCCCGAGGAGAGCAGGCGATGACATCACAGCCCGGGACCTGGTGTCAGCCAGCAGTTTCCTGTGACATCACACGGGGAAGAAGGGACATTTCCAGAGCCTGGGCTGTAGGGGGGCTCTCCTGAGATCTGTGGATTTTTTTTTATTACAGTTTTTGGTGTGAAGGTCTGGAACCTGCGCTCCAGTTTCTGATCAGGATTTCAGCAAACCTTTTCAAACAGCCCTGCGTTCCAATCAGGGCCTAGCTTGTGGATCTCAGAACAATACAGCATCTTCAGAGGGGTCTAAACCATCGTGCTCAGCATGTGGGGTTCCCCTACCGCCCCCCAACTCCGGGCACGAGCGAGCCAAGCAGGCCCAACTAGGACAAGTGACCCCCCCCCCCCACGCAGGGCTGTGCGCTCCCCCGGGCCCCGCATCCCCTCCTACACTGTTGCTGGGGAGAGAAAAGACGCGAATTCTCCCCAACAAAGGAGCAAATGGCTCCTGTCTGAGCAAAGAGCCGCCGGACCCGACCCGCAGAGGACAGGTGGGCAGGACGTGGCGCGGAGTCCAGCGAGAGTCCAGTAACACGCTTAGTCCTGATTATCGGCTCTGCAACTCGAAACACTGCAGAGCAGGAGCACAAACCAGACCCCCCCCCCCCGTTTTTATCAAGCACTGCACGTAGCAAAGTCATATCACGACGCGTTTCCCAGTGGTCAGCCCCCGGACACAGTGGTCAGCCGCGCATTAGGACAATTCAGAAACAAACAGAGGACACGCGGCAAACCCGAACCAAGCGAGAGATTCACACCTCCGCGGTTCACTAGGGGGGGGGGGTTGGTGAGACCGGTCGGGTCAGCCCGTGTCCGAGCCACTGCCCCCCGCAGTCGGGTACCCCCGGGGGGGTCGGGACACCAGCGCAGCCCAGTCCGGAGCTCAAACGGAGCTAAAAATACCAGCGCAGCAGCGCGGAGGCTTCAACCCGCTGGGGAGGTTTAAATATTAGAACAAAGGAGCCCGGAGGCTCGGGCGGGGGGAGGGGCGGACGGGCCCGACCCGGCAGGGAGAGCTCCCGGAGACAGCCGGTTCCTTTGTCAAGCGCAGCTTCCAGGACAACTCGCGTAAAAACACTAATTAGGCAACAAAGGAATCGTTAATGAGCGCACCGCACTGCCGTGGAGCCCGAACCTGCCGAACAAGGGCCGGGCCGGGCCGAGCGGAGAGCTCCCGGAGACACGCTCACGGCACGCAGGACCGCGGCCGCCGCCGTCTCACCTTGAAGTAGCCCCCTTCGTAGTGGGTGTTTGGGGGCCCGAAGATCGCGACCTCCCAGTTGTAGAGGTCCGCCTCGTCCACCAGCGTGATGCGGAAGCCCTCGACGGGCTCCTCCTGCAGGCTCTTCAGCTCCAGCATCAGCGCCTTCTGCGAGCTCGCCACCGGGCCGTGCTGCGCCATGCCGCCGCGGCTGCAGCGCTCTGGCAACGGGGATCGGGAGCAGGCCGGCCTCTGGCCCCGGCAGCAGCACACCCTGCGCGTCTGCTCTCACTCCGGGCTCAGCACGGCCGCACAGGCTCGGAGACCCAACCCGCGTCCGAGGCGCCTGGCTCGGCTCGACTCGTCCGCGACTGGTCCGCCCGATCCGAGATTCACAGGCAGCGGGCTGAGCTCACAGAGCCCTCTTTTTCTCTTTTAGGGGAAACAAAAACTTAAAACAAAATAAACAGGCAAGCGGATGTCCGGCACAGTCTGAACCCCCTCCTCGCTCGGCTAGCGGCTGCGGTCTGCTGCTGAAGTCGCTTCGCGACAAAGGCAGCCCAGCAGTGCGGAAGCGCGATCTTCTGGGAACTGTAGTTCGATCGGAGGCTTGTGTGGATCCCAACACGATTCGCCGAATACCTGGTGCTCACCCCGTAGGCAGATGCCTATTACAAGTGCGTCGTCCTCTTAATTAGTGTCAGGCGCTTGTGTTATCCGGTGTATCGATTGCACGATCAAGCTTTCGTGATCCCGAGATAGCAATGAAGGACTACAATCCCCGCACACCCGCTCGACAGCCACACGTGAGTCGTGGGACAGCTGTTGTGACGTCATAGAGGTGGTTGCTGGGTTTGGCTTGTGGTGGCAGGAGGAAGTACGCTACGTCACCCCGAGCTTGTTTTTAACTCCCATTACCAGGAAAACAGAAAAACAAACTTTGCGCCGCGTATGAGTTTAGTTATCAGCTCTCAGATCCTCAACACCACCGATATATCATTCAGGGGGAAAGAAGTTTAAAAAATGTTGCCAACTACGTGTTAAAATGCCAATGAATTTAACTGTCGGTTATTATTTTTTATTGAGTTCATCCTGTGGTGACCACGTTAGCAGTGTGATAGCTTGTGTAGTGTGGAGCCCGATGAGAGCAATTCACATTTCATTCAATACAATTAAAAAGAATCATGGGCCCCTAATAACCCCCATCTCTGAACTGGCTTCATCACTCTGCTCTCCTCCCCACTGAGAGCTGGTGTGTGGGGAGCAGACTGGCGCATCATCCAGGTGGGTGTGGAGGGGATCCCCATTACCTGTAAAGAGCTGAGTGGAGTGTCCGGAACAGCGCTGTTACTGTGAGGATTATTATTCAGAGCACTCAGCCCTCTGCTCTGCCCTGTTATGACCTGCGCAACTCATCTGTGGTCCTCCCTACCCCTCCTCCACTATTACACCACCGATCTGCCCTCCCTCTCTCCACTCCTACACCAGCAATCTGCCCTCCCCTCTCTCCACTCCTACACCAGCAATCTGCCCTCCCCCCTCTCCACTCCTACACCAGCAATCTGCCCTCCCCCTCTCCACTCCTACACCAGCAATCTGCCCTCCCCCTCTCCACTCCTCCACCAGTGAGCTGCCCCCTCTCCTCTCCCCTCCTCCACTTCTACACCCGTGATCTGCCCTCCCCCTCCCTCTTACTGGGGACACTGTCAGCTGTGTACTAGTTACCCTTCCTCACTGCACTTACTGTGATTGAGGCCCAGAAGACGGGGAGAGCAGGTGACCCGTGCGGCTCACCCCCTACCACAGGACTCCAGCTCAACAGAACACCATCCTGCCTCCAGAGCACTGAGTCAGCACTCCGACCGGTGTAGTGTGCTGAGTCACCACTGGCTCTCCAGGGCCCCCCCAACTCTACAGCCACCTCTACAGCCTCCTGCTCACTGGCAGACTTCGATGTTGGAACTAGCCTATAAAACTAGGGGAGTCACTTATCGGGGTAATAAACATTGCATATTGTTAAATACCTGTACATTCCTTTTTCAAGGATACTTCAGTTTTTATTGAATGCTCACTCATCCCAGCCAGTGGCATCAAAGGTCCAGGGTATTAATTGAAGTCACCAGGGCCGGACACATCTCCGATACTGTTTTCCAGCAGTGCTGCAATCGCGACAGGACAGTTTACAACACAGTGGAATGAGCTGGTGATGATCAGCACAGACTTACAGTCCTTATCCCTCATTCTGGGTTCACTGTAGCCCTGGAGTGTCAACCACGAGAGAGGGTGGTTGAGCTGTGAAAGTTCAGGTCGTCTCCACTCACTCTCCTCAAAGAGCCTGTCTTTCCCCAAGACCAGCGCCTGAGGGGGCCTTGGGCCACAAGTCGGATCAGAACACGTCACAACAGCAGGATGAGACAGCAGTGAGACACTCCCTTCTCCTGCAGGCAGAGTGATGGGAGCTGCTCACAGTGGTCAGGCCAGCAGTCGGGCTGCCTGGTTCCTGCTGAGACCTGCTGGGGCTCGGCCCAGTCTGCTCGGAGGACTTGTTTACTCCCCTGGATGTGGTCCAGTAACACCGCAGCGCTTCGTGCTGAAATCAGAGCTAAATTTAGGTTGTGGTTCTAGCTCCCTCGATGGAGGCCTACAGCACTGGCAGCCTGTGCTGTGACAAACTCCAGTGTCTGACTCATCGTCCCGGGACACAGGCACACAGAGGAGAGGACAGAGGAAGAACTGTCAGGACACAGCGAGGGAGGAGAGGACAGAGCCGTTCTCAGGACACAGGGAGAGAGGAGAGGACAGAGGAAGAAATGTCAAGACACAGGGAGAGAGGAGAGGACAGAGCCATTCTCAGGACACAGGGAGAGAAGAGAGGAGAGGACAGAGCCATTCTCAGGACACAGGGAGAGAAGAGAGGAGAGGACAGAGCTATTCTCAGGACACAGGGAGAGAAGAGAGGAGAGGACAGAGGAAGAACTGTCAAGACACAGAGAGAGAGGAGAGTACAGAGCCATTCTCAGGACACAGGGAGAGAAGAGAGGACAGAGGAAGAACTGTCAGGAACAGGGAGAGAGGAGAGGACAGAGGAAGAACTGTCTGGACCCAGGGAAAGAGGAGAGGAGAGGAGAGAGCCGCTGTCAGGACACGGAGGGAGGAGAGGAGAGGACAGAGGAAGAACTGTCAGGACACAGGGAGAGAGGAGAGGACAGAGGAAGAACTGTCAGGACACAAGGAGAGAGGACAGAGCCGCTGTCAGGAGAGAGAGAATGAGCCCTGTGCCTACACTGAGACGATGGGAGGCTATCATGTGCCAATGCGGGGTGCCGACTGCTGGCTGCTGACTCAGGGTAAAAGGTCGCAGAGCTTCTCCCTGGATCACTGGCTAAACCACACTACAGCATGAACAGATGGCCTCTGTCTCTCCCAGAGCACCGAATCCTCACGCACCACCCCCCAGCCCCAGCCCTGCACAGGGACACAGAGCTGGCAGCTGGACAACAGGCTCAGTGGCGGTTCTGCTTAACGACTGAAAGAGAGCCCTGATTACAGCACAGCTCTGACATGCGACTCCACTGCTTAGCCAGAGTAGCAGAACTCTGGGCCGAAGACCTAGAGGTTACCAGGTTGCCAGGAGACCAATCACACCCAGTGACAGACACCCCCCAGTATCTCCTTCTGTGAGACGAGAGGCCTCCACCTCCTGGCTCAGGGCCCAGGACACACAGAGCACTCTTCCCGCAGGGAATATCTTCTTGTTCACAATGAAAACAACAACAACAACAACGTTTATAGACATCCTGCAAAAACTAAGACTTGAACAACAGATATTCTGCTTTTTGTTTTCTGCTGCTCCTGTTAAAATAAACGCCCCCTAGTGGAAACAGTGAAATAGTGTTAAAGCTCTAAACTGAGGACTTCAGATCCAGAGAGACAGTGATTCCGTTACACAGCAGACTAAAGACTAAAATCCCAGACATCACCAGTGTCCTTATCATACATCAGAGTTTATTGGTTCACCTTGACACAAAGACTACAGCAGCTCAGGTTTCTTAAGGGAATGTCGATAGGAAATTCTTTGTTTATCCTTTATATATTCATTTAAATCATTATATAATGTCACATCATACAGCCGATATAAATCAACAGAATAATCACACAGGATGTCCTGCTGGGAGATGCAGGCGGGAGAATATTTTAGAGGCTGAAGTCACGGCACTACAGGATAGCTACCAGAGAACTGACAGTAACGCAGGACGATGTGTTTCTTGGGGTTCAGCTCCAGCTGTACTGAACAGAAGGCTTGAAGAGCCAGACTGCACCCCCCCTCAGCCTGTTCTCACCTACAGGAATAGCAGCCCCCAGGCACTGCAGGCGGATCTGCCTTCCTGCCCACTGTACACGAACAGGAAAAGCAACCACTCTCGGAACTCCACTTCAAATTCAAAATAAATACACAGCTACAGACAGGAAATGAAGGGGCAGCCCCTGGGGTCGGCCCCGGGTGCGAGCCAGAGGACAGCTCTGTGTGCAGGCGTCTCTCTACATCTGCACCGCTGGTAGGGAGGATCTACAGGAAGGAGCCGTCCAGCACAGCTGCAGTGCAGATCAGGGCTCTGGGCTGGTAATCACCTCTGATTTAACTGACCAATTACCACCCAATTATCTAACTAATGGATCAATTACTGAATTAGACAATGTCCGTAGTTGCTTGCTGGTTCAGGGACTGTGAGGCCCAGGGCTGACCAGTGGTGATAGCTCAAGCCCTTCAGCCCAGATCACTGGTGCACCTGGACTGAGGCTTCGGTGCATCACTGGTCAGTGTGCGCGGTGACCAGCCTCTGCTCCAACACATGCACACTTCCTATCAGCCGGATCAATCGATTGGCGGAGGGGTCCTGTCAGCAGGGAGTACTGGCTGGATTACCGGAGGAGTAGCCTCCTCCCCATGCAGAGGCACAGCCCTGCAGGGCTCACAGACACGAGCCGCAGACATGACTGAGACAAGGAGGCATCGACTGACTCAGTCAAGTCATTAAGACATCAGGGCCAGAGGGAGACCTGGACAGGCTGTGGCTCCTGGCCAGCACACCAACGGCAGGAGGCCAGGAGTGGGGGAACGGAAAACAGACAGCGAGCTGACACCCGAATCGAACATGGGAACGAACAATAACAATCTGAAATCAAGACATTGGAGAGTCCCGCCTGGGGGCCGAGAGGGGGGCGTCAGGAATGCCTGCGAGAGTGTGGCCTTGGAGGGGAGACGGGAAGGAGAGGAGAGCAAGGAGAGGGGCAAGGCATTAGCATGGATTCCTTCAGTCTTCAGCGACTCCTCTCCTGGGGTGGGGGCGAGGCGTGGGGTCTTCAGGACACCTCTGAGAACGTCAGCTTGATCTCGTCCAGAATATGACCAAGGAGAGACGACTCGTCACACTTCGCATCGATGGACACGCTCTTGTCCCCCTGGGGAGAGAGAGATGTGAGGACCAGTCCAGCGGCAGGCTGTGCGCAGAGCTGCCAGTCCAGAGTTTCGTCACTGCTTCACTCCTCCACACGGGCAGCTCTCCGGGTGCAAAGTCTGGAAACTGCTCATTCACACCAGTGAAGTAAATAATGGATTCAAATGCAGCCCACAATAAAAATGGGGAGCTGATATCTGCACACCATTGTCAGCTGCCTGTACAGAGCGTAGATTAAGATGAGTACATATACAAATACAGCCTGGATTCTCACCGTTTTGACGAGCAGACAGACATGATGTCCCTGGACAGACCGACTGTACATCGATGCACAGGAGTTGATCCTCTCCACCACTGAAAAACACACATGCACTCGTGGTCACTAGGGTCAGCAGGACGGGACACTCCCTTTCCCCCCAGACCCCTCTGCCCTCTCCTCCCTGTACCTGAGAAATGGTGATGGAAGCAGATCTTGGCCAGCAGGTGGTGGAAGGGCATGCTGATGTCGTCCAGCCTGAGAGAGCTCACCTTCAGATCCCCGGACTCCAGCAGCTTTGCGAAGGCATCACTGCCACAGACAACACAAGCACTGCCTTTTAGCCAGAGAGCCCCCCAACACACTGCGCCGCGCCAGAGAGCCCCCCCACACACACTGCGCTGTGCCGCGCCGCGCCAGGGAGCCCCACACACACTGCGCTGCGCCAGGGAGCCCCACACACACTGCGCTGCGCCAGGGAGCCCCACACACACTGCGCTGCGCCAGGGAACCCCCCCCCCCCACACACACACACACACACTGTGTTGCGCCAGGGAGCCCTACACACACGCAGGGAGCATTCAGACACGGCGGCAGTGAGCTCACCTGTAGCAGGGTGTAGTGATCAGGTAGGAAGTGCAGGTGAAATGCAGTTTGAAGTCCAGTTTCTCATGGGTTGACCCCTCCTCCGACTGCCAGGAGAAAACCGCAGTCAGGACACACACTACCACACCAGGCCTGAACTGCAGGCCCAGAGAGGCGCTCACTCTGTTACCTTGACGATGAAGGTGAGGGTTCCTTTCAGCTTCTGCGGCATGATGATGCTCTGCACCGTAAAGACGAACCGTGCCTCGTTGGACACACCTGCAGGGCGGACAGGAATGACCAGTGCTCTTCATTAACCAATTATGCTTCAATTCCAAACCACCAATTAGTTTGCCCATTTCTTGCTTACCTTTGTCTATTAAACCCCAAATCTTATCACTCCCAATACCTCCCCTCACCAGGTAGGGCAGACCCCTCCCCCTCTCCCTCTCTCCTCACCAGGGGGCAGCTGGAAGGGCACTGCGATGCCGTCGTGTGGTCCTGCCCCCTCGGGCCGCTGCAGGCGCGTGTTGAGGGAGTCCAGCACGTTGAACTCCATGGCCTTCAGCACACTGCTGCTCCTGTTCTCGAAGATCACCGACACCACCACCTGGCTGCCCTCTTGCAGGCTGCCCTGGACATCGTACACCTGACACGAGACAGCAGCATCACCACCAGCATTGGAACAGGCAGCCCTGGACACCGCACTCCTGAGGCTACACAGCACCACACAAACGCGAACGCAAGGAACACACACACCACACTCCTCACCAGGCAAAGAAGGAGAGCTGGCTACACAAACACACCAAACCGCATGGCACACATCTCAGAAACACCAACCAGGAGGCACCTCACACAGCACTGCAAACCAATCTGATCGCAGTCAGCACAAGCGAGTGTCTTAGAAAAGCCAGCAACAGGTGGGAGAATCGCACAGCAGGCAGAGACGGGCAGTCCCAAAGCCCAGGCAGTAAGGGTGCTGTGTGGGAACAGACACACACACCCCACCCTGTCGCAGGAGGGGCTTCACTAGTGCTCCACAGGACGGCCATGAAACGTCCCGTCTGCACCACCACCTGCTAGCAGATCTAGAGTGACCATCCCCCACAGGTCATCTACAGGAGAGCTGTCCCATACACTTCAGCTCCCCAGTAAACCTCACACACCCCAGCGTGCACAGCCCCTCCCCAAGCCCATACCTGCTCACTCTCCTCCTTCATCTAGAGCGAGACAGGAAGCACAGAGACACAGGCATCAGCAACACAACAGCAGAGGGCTGCCAGCTCTCTGCCCACCTGAACCAGCAGGTGGCTCACTCCCGCCTGGACCAGAATTTACCAAACTGGTCCAGAAAATAAAATGTCCAGTCAGTATAGTGACTAGGAACACTGCTACAGGATGTGGGGCGTTAAGCCTGGTGTACTGGCTAAATTCCATTCTTGGGCTGAACAACTGAGTTTCCCCTTCATTCACCTGGAGCAGCGCACCTCTGAGAGAGGGGCTGCCCTATCAGTAGTGTATAAACTGGTTCCCCTCTGGTATGTAAAGAGCTTTGGGATGAACCGTGTTAAAAATAAATGCACTTAAATAATTACATCCTTTTCATTTCAACATCTATGGACTCCGAATTCCTGAATACACCAGGACTGATCGGGGTGGCTCACTCCCAGTGGTCTGACCGGCCTGAGAGGCAGGACTGCTCCCCCCCGCCCCACACTCACCATCTTGATGTAGGCGTTCTCCCCCAGGACAGTGTAGTTGGACATGGGCTGCGCCAGGAGAAAACAGCAGAGGGTGAGAAGCTGAGACCCGTGAGAGCCCCCACAGTTCCCAGACTGACCGCGGAGCCCACGGAAACACTGACCGGCAGGGGCTCCTCCTCCTCCTCCAAAGTGCCGTTCTGCACCGAATCTGCCGCCTGCTGCTTCTTCCTCGACTTCTTCTCCTCCTTCTCCTTCTTCTTCTTCTTGTGTTTGGAGGATTTCTGGATGACAGAAGGGAGTCAAAACAAAACTTCACTGCACAGCTGCCGCACAGCCCCGCCCCACACCGCCCAGCTGGGGCACAGAGCCCCGCCCCACACTGCACTGTACAGCCCTGTTCTGCCCCACATCACACTGCACAGCTGGGTCACTCTGAACTGTACAGCCCTGTTCTGCCCCACACTGCACCGCACAGCTGGGTCACTCTGTACTGTACAGCCCTGTTCTGCCCCACACTGCACCGCACAGCTG